TGCGCGGACTCTAATCTGGGAGAACCGGGTTTGAGTCCCAATGCAGCCAGCCGGGTGACCTTGGGTCAGTCACAAGTTCTCTCAGAGCTATTCTCTCAGGAGCAGTCCTGGAAAGAGCTCCGTCAGCCCCGCCTACCTCACAGGGTGTCTGTTGCGGGGAGGGGAAGGGAAAGGAGTTTGTAAGCCGCTCTGAGACTCCTTTGGGTAGTGAAGGGCGGGGTATAAATCCAATCTCCTCCTCCTCCTCCACCTCTTTTCAAATCACCCTTCAAACCACCATGTTTCTTTTTGCCTGGTTCAGTCCCCAGCACCTCCACTGTCAGTTTGGTGTAGTCAGTTTGGTGTAGTGGTTAAGTGCGTGGACTCTAATCTGGGAGAACCGGGTTTGAGTCCCCACTCTTTGTCATGCAGCCAGCCAGGTGACCTTGGGTCAGTCACAAGTTCTCTCAGAGCTATTCTCTCAGGAGCAGTCCTGGAAAGAGCTCCGTCAGCCCCGCCTACCTCACAGGGTGTCTGTTGCGGGGAGGGGAAGGCAAAGGAGTTTGTAAGCCGCTTTGAGACTCCAAGTGAAGGGCGGGGTATGAATCCAATCTCCAAGTGAAGGGCGGGGTATGAATCCAATCTCCTCCTCTTCTTCTTCTCCCCCACCCTGCATTCAGTCCTCCTGACCACCTTGCGAGGCAGAGTTTAGGCTGCTTGACGTCGCCCCAGCGAGCTTCACAGTCAGTTCCAAGGAGGGTCTCTCTGATCTATCCCTCTGTTCCACGTGTGCTGCTAACAAACCCCACGAGCGAGGCCAAGCAGCACTGCAAGGCAGTGTTTGGGGCACAATGCTCCCTCTAAGCTGCGGAGTCTTGTGAGCAAAAACTCTTCTCTGTGAGCCCCTGGCATTAAAGTTGCGAGCGAGCGATTTGGCCGCTGCATAAATTACTTTCCTCTGGAGCCCTCCTTCCTGAGCTGAGACAATACAAATGTGTGAGCTGGAGGCTAAAAAGCTGTGAGCCAGCTCACACTCACTCAGCTTAGAGGGAACACTGCTTTGGCACACAAAACAGTGCAAGCACACTGCCTTGGAACAGGCCCCTTCTCTCAGAACAGCCCCCGGCCCTCGCGACTGCAACACTGGGCAGGTTTGCTTCCCCAGGTTGGAGGAGCCACCCCTCTCCCTCCCTCCCTCCCTGGGGGACTCACCAAACTTCATCTCCAGGTTCTTCTCCAGCTGGTCAATCTTCTCCGAGAGCTTGCCCAGCATTGAGCGGAGGAAGGCGATCTCCTGGTCCTTCTGGGCCATGGCCACCTGCATCTCATGGAAGCGGTCGTCCGTCTGCTGGAGGAACTCCTTCAGGCCCTCAAACTTGCACATCTCCAGGTGGGTCTCGTACGTGTCCTGGTTCCCGATGAACATGCACCTGGGCGGGGGAGAAGAGTGGGAGGATGGAGTGGGAGGCTGGGAGACCGGCCCCGGACTCAGGCACCTGCCCTCCTTCCACTGCACACGCGCACCTGACTGTCTGTAAAAAAACCCTTCTCTTAAGCAAGCCTGGACTAACCAAGACACTCAATAGCTTAGGAAGCCAGGCCATGACTTAAGAAATGCCTGCAGGTCAACACGCTTTTTCTACAAAGCTCCTAGTTCTGCAAGTCCTCCCTGCTACTTTTAAAATTTTGATTTGAGGAAAACATAGTTTGGGGAGTTCTTTTCTTTTACGCCGATCGTTTTCTTTTCTGGACAGAGATTTCTGGAATGGCTGAGGGATAGCAATGCTGTGCAACTGAGATAGTTAGGTGGGACGTTTCACCGTTTTCACTGTCCTGTTTTGCTTATGGTAACAGAGAGAGAGAGAGAGACAGAGAGAGAGAGAGAGAGAGACAGAGAGAGAGACAGAGACAGAGAGACAGAGACATATTCAGTACACAGGGTCTTCTCCCTCCCTGCCCTGGTTAAGGACTTGTGGGTTGGACCCACACTAGATTTTCTATTATTGGACAAAGAGACGTAGAGGAATTTCAGACAGACAATATCATCCGGAAGAGGAACGGTTCCCAAACGCTTTCTGGTCTGTCATTTCAGACAGAACCGTTTTAGAACCGGTTCCCTATCGGAATATATTTGTAATTTCACACACAAACGCTTCTGTCCCGTTTAGGAAACGGGGCTGAAGCGTTTTACCTGTCAACCGCTTCCAAGTAGTCTTCAGTTTCCTCTCCAAGTTCCGATGCACTTTTTCCCACCGTTTTTTGCCCGCACGGGCGATCTCCGGCTTTTGGAACGTTTGCTTTATAGCGCTATGACGCTATAACGAAACAGCATTACATCGACCCCATTGGGAAAAGCGGTGCAGTCTGAAATGGCAAACCGCTTCAGATCCAGCTCTTTACCGGAAGGGGAAAGCCATGTGTGAAATGGCAGCCGTATACCGGTTTACTCCACGACGGATCAAAAACGGCTTCAAAACGGGTTAAAAAGGGTAATGTGAAATTCCTCCCGATCTCTGCAAATTTCCCCTTCCTTTTGCAGACCCTCAATTTGACCCTAACACCATTCTTGAGGCCCCCCATTCCCAAGGAGTAGCACCTTGGGGAGATCAGCGGATGGCAGGAATGTTCCCTTCCAATGACAGGTTTTTCATTAGAAGAAGAAGATTGGATTTATGCCCCGCCCTTCACTCGGAGTCTCAGAGCGGCTTACAACCTCCTTTCCCTTCCCCTCCCCACAACAGACACCCTGTGAGGTGGGTGGGGCTGAGAGAACTCGTGACTGACCCAAGTTCATCCAGCAGCTGCACGTGGAGGAGTGGAGACTCAAACCCGGTTCTCCCAGATTAGAGTCCGTGCACTGAACCACTACACCAAAGTGGCTCGAGAGGTGATTTTGGTCCAGATCCGACCCTCTCCTTCTGGGCGTTTTCTTTAGTGTATTGAGAGAACGTTTGTGCGGCTTCTCGAGTGGCATATGTTTCAGCCCCAGCTTTTTAGCTGCTCTGAAGAAAACTGTGCCACCCGTAAGAAACTCCGGCCGCAGCCCTGACCCGGATAGCCCAGGCAAGCCCGATCTCGTCAGACTCTGGCAAGTACTTGGATGGGAGACCTCCTCGGAATACCAGCAGTGGGGAGGACAGGGGCAGGCTTGATTCAGCCACCTCTCTGAATATCCTCTAGGCCCCCGGTAGGGGTCACGCACACCAGAGGTCGCCATGACTTCCAGGTGCCCATTTTAAAAAATACCAAGAAACAAAAGTGGCAGCAAAGGTGGTTTTGGCTATCTTTGTCGTCTCCAGTGTTCCCTCTAAGCTGAGTTCAAGTCAAGTCAAGTCAAGTCAAGTGAGCCTTTATTGGCATAAATTATCAGAACCATTTATACATTCTAAAACCAGTTAAAAGCACATATATAAGAATTCTAAAAGAACCTTTGGCGCAGCTTTAAAGCCAAACAGAGAAACTTAGCCACCTTCTCAGTAATATCCGGGCAGAGATCTCTTAAAAGTCTATTCACCTTAAGAGCATCAGAACAAACACCCATACTGGTTAAAAGAGATTGTAAATATGTGATCCTCATGTCCACATACAGGTTACAATGCAGGAGAACATGAGTGATAGATTCCACACATTTCTTTCTGCATGGGCAGTATCTGGCCAGCTGAGGAACCTTATTGAATCTGCCAAATAAGATGGCGGACGGCATGGCATTGCATCTGGCCAGGGTGAGTTAGGGTGAGCTAGCTCACAGTTTTTTAGCCTCTGGCTCACACTGTTTTGTCTTAGCTCAGGAAGGGTGGCTCCAGAGCAAACGGATTTATGCAGCAGCCAAATCACCGGCTCACAACTTCAATGCCAGGGGCTCGCAAAATAGAATTCCTGCTCACAAGACTCCACAGCTTAGAGGGAGCATTGCCCGTCAGGGAGAGTGGTTTCTACCTTTGTCCACGTGGGGAGAGGGTGGCCCCCGGGCACTCACACACTCACACCCACACACACATATGTGCACATATGAAAAAGGCAAAAACAAAGATACCAAAGAAAAGGAAAGAAAAGAAACTCCAGCCGCTGAGGTTTGGTGCACAAGCTTCAGAGGCCCCCGAGTGGGGCGTGACCTCACACCCTCCCCGTGTTCCGAGCCGGGGAGAGCCGCCCCCCGCCCTCCCGCTTACCCGTATTTGGAATGGGGGCACTTGATGTGCTCGCACTCCTTGAGGTGGGCCTCCAGGTTCATCTTGAGAAGGGGAGGGCGGCTGGGATTGTGGGGGCACCGCACCGGCCGATAGTCGCAGCTGCCTTCATGGTCCCTGGCGGGAGGAGAGAGAGAGAGAGACGGAGAGTGTCAGGGGAAGGGGGGAGCCCTCGGCAAACCGGACCAACGAGAGGGGGGACTGAAAGACGGAGCGGCCTCCATCCCCTG